ACAGTGATAAAATAAAAAAGTAATGTGGAGCTCATGCCCAATTCAATCAGCTTAATCAATGGCTGAACAAATAGCAGTACTCCAACATTATTTTTAAAAATTAAATTAAATTTAAAAATTTTAAATTAAAATTTTTAAAATTTAAAAATAAAAAATAAATTTAAAAAAAATTGCCAGGACAGCTCAGATAGAGAAGGGAGCACCAAGTAAAGGGTGTTGGGAAGATCCGCCCAGGATGGGAGATGCATGCTAAAAGTAGACTATAGACCGAACATGATTGCCACCCAATGCCTCTTTTGCAAACCACAGCACCCAAAAGGAGAGAGAGAACAAAAGGGAGTGCCCTGCCACAGAGGCAGGGTGGGATGAGGGGGAGGGGGGGTGGGAGGGATACTGGGATTGGTGGGGGTGGAGAATGGGCACTGGTGGAGGGATGGGTACTTGATCATTGTATAACTGAAACCCAAGCAAAAAATTTGTGAATCTACAACTGTACCTCATGGTGTTTCACTAATAAAAACAAATTAATTAATTAAAATTAAAATTTTTAAAAATTGCCAGGAAAAAAATTACCAGTGCTAGAAATGACCTTGGATTTCATAGTGTGAATTCTTACTCATCAATACTGGATCAAGACTACCTCAAATTCTCCCACCTGTCCAGAGTGCCAACAGACGCAGACAGTGAGCTGCTCTCATCAGCAGGTAAGGAAACTGAGCCTCTCATTTATGTATAAGACCCAACTAGAATCCTATTAATAATACTCAGAACAGTGTCCCTTTCACACTAGATACTGAGCAAGCACTGAACATCCATAAAGCAACAGGCCCTAACATCCAGTTTCTATTACAACCTGCAAGAAAAACCACATTTTATTGCACTGTCCTCCCGCTGTTCATCGATTTGCTCGAGCGGGCCCAGTAACGTCTTCATTGTGAGACTTGTTGTCACTGTGTTTGCATATCGAATTCGTCACAGGTAGCTTGCCAGGCTTTGCCATGCGGCGAGATACTCTCAATAAAATTTAAAATATAGCTCTAAATGGTTAAGAGTTTGCCAGATAAAAAAGTTAGCAAGATCAGGAGAGACTACTCTAAGGGCTGAACACATACTTGGCATGTGAGAAGACCCAAGTTCAATCTCCAGCACTGCAAGGTCCCCCAAAGCACCACTGGGAGAGTGGTGAGCTGAGCTAGTGACAGTCCTTAAGAATCATCAGGTAAGGCTTCTCTGTAACAAAAACAACTAGGAAAATCTAGAAATAGGCTGATTCGAAAGAATGTCCTCCAAACTTTTATGAAGAAATCTAAACTTCCCACATGCACCACCAGTGTGGCCTTGATGGTGTGACCAGCACTGCAGGGCCCAAGTAACTCTGCATCCTCCTCCATCAAGCCCAATTGGCCTAGTATTATTAGAAACGGCACCGAGCCCCTGACCACTATTTGGGAGGCCCAAAAATTAGTGACTGAATAGACAAACATTTAAAACTCTTAAGACTTTTTTCCAAGAGTTCCTGAAGTGAACTATTTGATTAAGCTGGTCTAAAACATTTCTTTCACCAATTCCATTTCCTTCGAAGCAACAATAAGCTAGCTTTTACTTTATTTTCTCAAGTGAATATTCCAGATAAAAAAATTAGAAATATTTCCTAAAAATTGTCAAAGTGCACTGATTTTTAATTCTTTGTTTCTGGTCAAATATATACAGAAAGAGATACTGACAGCAAAGAAAAGAATATGGTTTTACAAAATTAGAATGGAGATTAACAAAAATCAGTTTTACATTATTTAATGCTGTGGAAATTTAAGAGGCAAGCAACTTTAAATAAACTAAACTTTACCACAATCTTAATTCTGTTCTAAAGGACAGATACTCCCAACCAACAAACAGGCAGTATATCTGACAAAGGGGTAAACCAATACCTTCATGCTTCCCAAAACAAACTAGGAAGGAAAGTATAAAATTGAATATGCTTTCTGGGAAACATGACTAGATATAGAGTATTTGTAAATCACTGCTCTTGTAGATCACTGTTTCTTGTAGAAACAAAAATGTTTGTCTACAGGAATAAAGTTAGCAGGCAGATTTAAGTTAAGTAACAACAAAAAAAAGTGCCAATGTGAACACATAAATTTTTTTCCCACAGAAAGCATAGGAAAATAACCAATTGTCACTACTGAAAATAAATTCTTTATAAACATTTAGTTGAGTTTTATTGATTAAAAGCTTGTTTTAGGGGCTGGAAAGATAGTACTACAGGTAGGGTGCTTGTCTTGTATGTGGCAGCCAACATAGGTTCGATCCCCAGCACCCCTATGGTCCCCAGAGACCCACCAGTTGTCATCTCTAAACACAGAGGCAGGACTATGCCCTGAGTACCACAGAATACGTTCCAAAATTAAGAACAAGCTTGTTATAGGGCCAGAGAGAACTGAGATCATCCTTCGCAAGTAAGCCCAGGTTCCATCCCCAGCACATCATAGTCCCCTGAGACTCCTAGAAGAAAAGCAAAGTTAAGTGTGACTGCCCCTCCCCACCACCACACACACACAAAAAGAAAATTTGAGAAGGAGGGTGAAATTGAGACAGGAAAAAGAGAAAAAATATTTTGTGTGGGATAGAAGGGGACAGAGCTCAACAGGCTGAGCACATGTGGAAGGCTGTGGTTCAATCCCAGGACTGCGTGGTCCTGAGTA